AGAGTAAATCCCCAAAGGCGTGGGCTAGCCCCGGCACACCGCGCCGACACCTGGCTGACCCTCCGGGAATGGCCCAGCGAGGGGCGGCGCGCGGCTCTGGGATGACCCGGGGTTGGTGGGGCACGCCTCCCAACAAGTCGCCGTGGTCTAGTGGTCAGCGTGACGGGATCGCAAGCCAGAAGTCCGAGGTTCAACTCTGCATCCGGTAAAGTATTACAAAATTACATCAATGCTTACTTCAATGAAATTACCGGAAGGCGTTAGGAAGGCGACAAGGAACGAGGGCAACGGCGGGGAAGTGGTTAAGAAAAAAAAAACTTTTTCTTTTTTGAAAGAGCATTGAGTGTATAGGAAAATTCCTATACATGTGTAGGGATAATGCCACACACACATAGTACTTATCCTACACGCGTATGGTAGAACTACCATACGCCTGTATGGGAAAATTCCCATACATGTATATGTGAATTGCTGCAGATACATTTATAGGAAATCTACTATACAAATTTTTTACAGTGTAGAGCAAAACGAACCCTTGAGCTAGAATGCTCATCTTCGAACTCGACCTGCCATTTTGTGGTACAAAACTACCCTGAAAATCCCAGGTCGCTGGCCTAATGCGTTCTCGAATTATCGTGGCGGACAGACACACAGACAGAAGTTTTTTTTTTCCGACCAGACAGAGTAATAGGCTTCGCTAATCGCTCAGCCAATGACCCCGACAAAAACAGGGGTCCGTAACTTAGCATATAAGGACCTCATAACGTTTTGTTAATCGTTAGTGTTAGTGTTGTTAGTGTTGTACCCGATAACTGATAACGCCTACTATGGCACTTAACAGATACGTAAATAACATATAACTTTTGTTTAAAAAAATAACTGTTATGGATTTATCAAATATTACTTTGATAAGTGTTCAAGTGTTATGTTCTATTTCATGCCTGTGCGATATAAGTCACTAAATAAAGGGAAGCCGCTTTCAACGTTAAATGAATTGGTTACATATATAACGTTAAGGGAATAACAGATTACTTATTTGTTACGTATCTAACTTAACTTAAAGTTTTATTTGCGACTTTGTTATATTTATTTAACAAACCGATCATGTTCGTTACGTTAAGTTACGGACCCCTGGACAAAAATGGGTCGAGAAGGCCCTGTTTCCCTATACCCTCTACTTAACTCGTCTCGAGTGTCAGCGCCGAAGGCCTAGCTACATGTGCGCCAGGCGCGTCGCAGCGTAACAGTGTTTCGTGAGATATCGCCAAGCCTGTTACGCGAGACGGGGTATGGCGTACATATAGCTAGTTAGCAGTCAAGTGACAGTACTTTTCCACAGAAATGGTAAGCTAAGCTTGAAATAAGTATTTTCAACAGTAAAG